CCCCAAAACCCCAAAACCCCAAAACCCCGTTTGCTAATTTGGATTTAGTTGATTGGGCAAGATTAAAAGAAATATAAAATTATACAATACCAAAGGATACTTTCAATGAAGATTTCTATCAACTTCAAGCCTTATTATCATTTCAAGACTGGTAATATTTGTCTATATAATAAAGAGCTCATGTTTAAATTCAAATTTTAGAAAGTTTTGATGTGAATGGCAAAAACTAGATTGTTTAGTTCTAGCTTAACCAGGAATACGAAGATTAGGGAAGTTTATCAACTTAATTTAACTCTCATCACAATTATTCACCATACGACAAATTAAAACATAGAAGTTCAGCATCTTCAGCCAATTTTCAGCATACTAATTCATCTGATACTAAGCAGAAAGTAGAATTATGCTTCAACAAAAATAAATTCTAACCCATTGATCTAACAAATGCTGTCAGAATTTAAGATTATTAAAGAGGACAAGATTCTAGACAAACAACTTAAATTCAAGTCAAAGATCCTAAACTATAAAATAAATCTCTTTCCAGACCATGTATTCCCATTTTCTAAATTAACAATGGTTTAGATATGTGTTTGGTTTTATTCAAATAATTGGGAGAAAACTCTGAGCAATCTACCAAATGAGCTGATTTATTGGAGAAAAAATAGGAAAAATAAACGACATCATCATCTTTTGTGATGGTAAAAAATAAGAAGGTTATTTGAGCAGATGTAAAATTTAAAGTAATACATATTTTCACATATCAAATATGCTTATTCATTCACATAGATGGTAATTAGAAGGGTCATAAAATTTTATAAAAACAGATTTGATTGGTTACAGGAGTAAATCTCAATGCCAGAGGAGGAAGAAAAATGCTTGGCTGAAGTATTTAGCAAGAAAATATTTCATTCAGAAGCGAAAAATGATTATTAAAGTTCTTATAACTCAATATTCAGAGATAAATTGTTTGGCATGCCTTCATTTTGCAAAGCTTTCCATATCTTTTATCGTAATAATATTTAAAAGTATTCATAGTTTTGCCTTAGTTCACGAACGATAAAACTTACTTCGAAGAGCAGTTTATCATTATGGCAGAGCACATAGAGAAGAGTTTCAATAATATCTGAATAGATTATTGGATAAAGTAAATAATGTATTGGAACAGTGAGCATAGTATCATTAGATAGAGTAGCAATAAGGACTAGAACTATTGCATATATTACTAATATTACTCAAAAACTTTTAAGGCATTAATTTCATTCTCATAATTTCTGATTAACTCATTTTTATTAGTATGGGGTTTTGGGGTTTTGGGGTTTTGGGG